GAAAAAACAAAACTTGGAAAAATCGAAGTGTTGAAATTCGGCCAGAAATTATGGGCAACCCAATATGTACAGTCGATATCCGAGAGTTGGGGTAGGCGTGTCACCGGAAGTGACGTGTGCACTTGATAGAAGTTGCGTGGATAAGCTGTTGCCAGCATGCTTTGCTGATATCCAGCGATGTATGTTGGAAGCAGCTTATCCACGCGAATCTATCAAGTGCGGTGCTGCCGGTGACACACCTACCCCAACTCTCGAATATGGACTATACATATTGGGTTGCCCATAATTTCTGGCCGAATTTCAACACTTTGATTTCTTCAAGTTTTATCTTTCCTAAAAAACAATTGATCAAAAACATAACCACCATCATAATCACTGATATGCACCCATTTGCTAGGGAACGAATGGATGCATTCCTCCCAGAACGAGAGAAGCTGAGATGAAAAGCTCGGAGAGGTCGTTTTTGGGTGGTTGTATTTACTGACTTTTTCCTCTCCTAGCTGCTGCTTCAGGGAGCTGGGAGGTGATAGTACGATGGAGCAATGTCAGGGCTATACGACAGATGTGGTGTCGTGGTCCAGCCAGTTTCCCTCGAAACGTGGCGAGTTATCTTTGCAATGTGATTTCGGGCGTCATTCGGAGGAAGGAGATTTTGAGACGTTTCGAACCGTTCTCCCGCACTGCTGCAGCCAACTTCGGGAGCTATTCCATGGTTACCTTCGCAATGCTTGTCTGCATAAAGTGAAGTGGTTCTCAAAACGGATACCCAGCGAATCCAACGAACCGGGGGTAATATCTCTGATGAAAGAGCTCGGGCTTTGGTTGAGATGGTGGGTCCAGGCTGCGAGGTAGCCACCAGGCGTGCCGCGTGTTGTTATCGTGGTGGACTCATGACTCATCTGCACTGGTGACCAACTAGGGAATGTCTATGCGGTCGCAGAATGAAACTTCTGCAGATGGTCAGGCGTGCTTCTCGGTCATGGTCAGTCGATGCATGCTGTTTCCATCGAGACTTCATTCTGCTACAGCCCATTTTCAGGTGTCGACTCATGGAGCGTAGGCTGCGTCCAGATGTTTGCTACAGTTTCCTGCTAATAGCGTCCGGATGCACTTCCTATTCGTTGCGCAAGGGGTCCTCATCGAAAGTGACTGGAGGTCCATGATGAGGTCGAACTTTGCAGCTCCTATCGTATTTGCCGATGCTATTGAGCCAATAGCTCAGTGCCCGATCAGTAGCAAAGACTGGGGCAAACGTAGCGCTGATCTTGCCTACCGCGCTCCTTGCAAGGTTCTTCTTAAAATTGTCGTAAGGCATAATCGTTGGGTTTGGTCGTTGATCTATTTTGATTCCTACTTAATTATCCCGTTGCGCATTTGAGCTTCTGAAACATCCTGGCTGAAGGTCCTGATGTGTTCTTCAACTTATTTCGATATGAAGCTAATTTGACATGAAGAAAATTGAATTTGAACCAAAATCGGCCAGAAATTATGGGTCAACCCAATACATGATGGAAGACCGCTGTCGCGCTCATGGCATAGCGCCAGACTGATAATCGAAAGCTGACTAGTGGTGAGCTAATGTTATTGTTCACAATTTCGAATGACCTAGCGGCTTCAAAATACAAAACCAAAAACCAGTGATGGAGGAAAAAATAAATAATAAGCAAACAGACAGCCAGGTGTAGGAGTTTAAAGGAAAGCCTTTGTGACCTCGAGTAAAGTGGATCGGGCTTCTCTTAGGAGCAACGAGAGGTGTAGAAGTAATGACTGCCGCTTCCATAGCCCTCAGAACGAAATCGGCTCTTGAGGGTGATAGGTGATTCTCAGTGCCATCATGGATGCTGTTATTCGTTTGTCCATAATCTCGGTGCAACTGGGTGCGGTAATCCACTTCGCCGCCCCTGGTCTTCGACGAAGGCGTTGCCACAGTTTGAGTATCTGAAAAGTCACCAAGATTGGTTAATACCATTCAAAGTCAACGGATACGATGGCCGAGAGGCGTAGAATTTTGATTATCTCATTGAACGCCCTCCGTAGAAGCCGCTGATGGGGTGTGGTCAGAAGAACCACCTCTCAACAATCCCACACCAACGACGCCCAATGATGCCGCAAACGGTGGACCGTGCCCGACCTACCGGACCACAACCAGAGCCTCATACCGTCACTACACTTCCCTTGTAGATGAAGCGGACCAAATTCCCGGGGACACAAGGAGCGCCAACAGAAGCTCTCCAATCTACTAGTGCCCGCTTGGCTGAACTAAGGTGCAGCCCTACGCTCCTTAGTATTTTCTCTGTGGCACCCCTTCTGGCGGAGTGCATATATATATATATACTTCTGGTTTCGAGCAAATAGCAACCAGCAGAGGTTTATTGTTTCAACTTCTGTTTCTACCTTATTTTACTACTTGCTACTTATCCACCTAATGTTCCACTTGTGCGAAAACTTCGTGGGCGGGTGTCGTGTAATAGTTTCGTAGATCTGCCTTTCAAGATCATAGTTTCAAGTTCAACACAATGTGAATTAGTTTTCATCCGATCACTTTCTTGAGGGCCCGTCTACTATTCGTTCGGTTTGTGTTATGTATTGTTATTTCACACGGCTCAATGGAAACACAATTGTTTCCGCTCATTTGAAGGTTATACTGGTATACCTTCTTG